GGGTCGACGGGAGAGCAGCCTGGCTCAGGGGGGGGCAGGAGAATGACCTGGGATCGGCGATGCACAGCCGATTGATCGGCCATGGGCCCCCGATGGGGAAATCGCGTGCTCCTGGGCGGGACGGGGGCCAGGCCTCAGTCGGCAAAGCACGGGCGACTGAGGTCGGGGGCGCGCAAGCATGGATTAGCGATCCATGGATTTGGCGCGCGGTCTCCAAATCCATGGATCGCGGGAGGTGCCCTCCCCAAAATGCGGCTGGTGGCGCCTCGCTCGGCGGCGGCAATCAGCGATTTCATCTGGAAACGGGACCCGTCGCTAATCCACGCCCCCTCAGTCCATGTTTGCGATCGCCTGATGCGGGTCGATGTCTTCCCCCCCTGCGCTCATCCCCCCAGGGAGTGACCCCTGACTCTTCTACCACTCCCGATGGCAGCCTCGCCCCGCCGCTGGACGCCTCGCGTGGGTTACCCTCTGCCCTGCCGTGCCTGTTCTCCTCGGCCCGCCAGCGGCTTCCTCTCCGCTGCTGCTACTGCTGCTGCTGCTGCTGCTGTTGCTGCTGCTGGCTGTGAAACTTGTACCTTGACTTGTTACTCCCATCGTACTTAAGGATCGCATCCCAGAAATAAAGAGAAGTATCGAAATAGCGTCGAACGAGTATCGCCTCCCAGGGGCTGGCACGTGAAAACCCAGCAGTTTCGGTACTTTCTTGGTGCACGAAATTCTTTTTGGTGATTTAGGCTAAAGTAGGTTGGAACATCATAAAGCTTGCAGCGGCCATCCGGCTGATCCCCGCCGAGCAACGGGCACGGCCATCGAAGAACAAGCTTCGATGCTCGAGGTCTTCGTACGCTCTGCGCCGCTTCGGGGGGGGGGGGCGATCAAGAAATGAAGATCCTCTAGAGAAGTGAGGGTTCGACGCCTGGGCCCCCTGCTGGGATCCGGGGAACCCCGCACGGCCGGCCCTGGAGAGCTGGCAGGCAACATCGACCATCGAAGAGCACGCTGTCCCTGTAAGGCGATCCCCCCCGCGAGGGCCCCTGCGGTGCACGCTGTCCCCCCTTGCAGCGTGTGATACGCGGGCTGGCGTCAGGTCGGGCATGTCCTCCTACAAGCGGATCTTGGGCGAAAAATCGAAAATCCGCCGATCCGGAGAGTGAACTACAAGGAGCCACAGCAAGAGCTTCAGCTCTGAGCCTAAGCAAGAGCTTCAGCTCTGCTTGGGGGAAGGGGGGGAGGGGGGGTGGCGGCGGTCCCCCATCTGGCGTTTTCTTTATGATTTGCGCATCCGGACCCCCCCCGGGGAAGCGGGGGACAGGGGGGGGCGGTCCCCCATCTGGCGTTTTCTTTATGCTTTGCGCATCCCCAAGATGTGTCGGGTGCTCCCAGGGACCCCCCTCAGATCTAGCCGCTACCGCCCCCAGGACCCTCCCCTTGGAACCCTCCCCAGACCGCCCCCGGGACCGCTCCAGGCAACCCCCCAGAGAAGAAGAAAGAGGACCGGAAGAATCGAGGAGGGAGGATGCCACAGAGCCGCGAAGATCACTGAATCCGGAGCCCCCCAGATCGGCGGCACTGGTCGGAGGCCATTACAATAGCCTAGAAATGTTCAAAAATAGTCACACATAGTTGAAAAATCGCCCCCAGACTATTTTTGGACTATTTTTGAATATTTCTCTTGTAGAAGGACACGCCCGACTTAAGGCTGGCGGCAGCCCAAAGGTACCGATGCTGCTACTCCCCAGACCTCTCCCTCTGCGCGCTCTGACCAGAATGTCGAAGCAAATCCGGCGGTGGCGTCGAATGCCCCCAAAGAGGCCCAAAAAAAGAAAACGAGGGAAGGGTGGCGGTATCGGTACCTTTCCCTCCTCTGAAATTCTGTCCTAGGCCATCCTGCTCGTTGCTGAGCGGCTCCCCGCTGCCAGCGGATTCCACACGCCCCCCCCCAAGAGGTCTCCGGCGGCTGAGAGATGCGCGTTTGAGAAAAAAGGAAGGTGGAGCGAAGGGGGGGGGGAGAGAGGGAGGAGAGGGAGGGGAGACGAAGGAGGATGACGAGGAGGAGGAGGAGGAGGAGGAGGAGGAGTAGGAGGATGAGGGAGGAGGAAGGAGGAGAGGAAGGATGAGAGGAGTCGGAGAGGAGCAGGAGGACGGAGGAGGCGGAGATGAGGAGGATTCGTAGTAGGAGGAGGAGGAGGAGAGGGAGAGGTGAAAGGGAGGGGACAGGGGCAGGGAGAGGGAGAGGGGACAGGGGGACGAGAGCTCTGCCTCCTTCCTGAGCGCGAGCCTCGGCGGTTTGCCGACGATGAGGCGAGCGCAAAGGAAAGAGGATGTCCTTGGGAAGTCGGACGTCTTCTCAGAATCGAGGACGAGACAACCACAACCGCTGGGCTGCGGGAAACGCCGATGGCGCCAGCCTGAGGCCGACTCCGACTCCCCAGCGGTGCTGACCTGAGCGCGGTACTCAAAATCAGGCGCCGCGCGCAGGTCCTCACCGCTGGGGGGACGGGGTTGACCAGCCTCGAACTGATCCCTACCCCTACGATCGACAGGCCACGAGACGACGACAGTCTTACGGGCGCGCCCTCGGAAACTGAGCTGGCCCTCAAGATCGGCATCGAGATAAGGTGATGTCCACCACAAGGATAGGGACCTGCTTCAGGCTGGTACAGTCGAGGCGTTGACCTGAGGAACCCTAAATAAGGAACGAGGTCCCTATTTTCCATAAGTTGAACTCCGATTTCGTGTCGAGAACCTGAGGAAAATCCCAGGGCAGGCTGCGAAACAATTGAGGAGCACGGAGCCCCTCCCCAACGAAAAGGGTTCCTTCTTCAGGGCCCCGACTGTACGGGGTCGGCGCTCGGCGGGCGCCGGCGGCGACGGTTCCCCTTCCGCCCAGCGGCCGCGGCTGCAACCTCCTCGCCCAATGGCTCTCGAGGACGAGGAGATCCCCCTGCGCAGCGCAGTCTGTCTGCCGCCGGGCACGGAGCTCCTGCTCCCTGCGGCCAGCAGGGGCCGGCAGCTCGCCTGGCGGCACCCAGAATTGGAGGATGGAGGGAGTAGACAGGAAGGGAGGAGGAGGAGGAGGAGGAGGAGGAGGAGGAGGGAGGAGGAGGAGGAGGATGAAGAACTTCAAGAGGCAATCACCGGAGGAGGAAAAGATGGGAGGAGATGGGAGGAAGGGGGAGAAGAAGGGAGGAGGAGACGGGAAGGAGGGGGGAGGAAAAGGGAGAAGGGAGGAGGGAAGAGGAGGAGGATGCCGAGTGTCAAGAGGCAATCACCGGCGCAACCCTCTGAAGCTCGGCCTTGTCGGCAGGCGGGCAACAGAACAGCATGTGGCACGGCGGGCGGCGTGGAGGAGGAGAAAGAGGAGGAGGAGACAGAGGAGGAGAAGGTTGTACGGTCAACTTAAACGAGGAACTCTCGGGGATAAGTAGGGTGCGGGGACGGGTGCGCGGAAGGGTGTACAAGTGGGTGCGCGAAAGATCCGCGCAGCGATCGTCTGGAACAAACCTTTACAATTGCTATTAGCGGTCTACAACGAGGCAACTGCTGCGTCTCCCACGTGCGCTCATCCCCGACGCGCCCGCGACGCGATTTCTCTGGCGATGCGCACATCGCATTCAGATTCATACAGATTTTGTTTGGAATTGATTCTGGCCGCCGAACTTCACACCCATGAAAACACCCTTTCAAATGGCCGCGGCCGGACCAAATGTTTTTCCTCCGGCGGCCGGTGGCCCGCGGTGTCCCGCTGGTGTCCCGCTGGTGTCCCGAAATCCTCCTGTGGCTGGGCCGCGGCTGGACCAAATGATTCTCCTCCGGCGGCCGATGGCGCGCGGTGTCCCGCCGGTGTCCCGCTGGTGTCCCGAAATCCTCCTGTGTCTTGGCCGCGGCCGGACCAAATGATGCTCCTCCCGTCAAACGGTGGCCCCTAGTGTCCCGCTGGTGTCCCGCCGGTGTCCCGCCGTGGGTTGCATTTCAAAACATCGCCGCTTGCGGCGGGCTATCCAATGTAAGTCTGCATGCAAACCGACATGCAGATCGAAAAGCGCATCGAAATGAAAATCGATTTGCACATCCAAATGCAAATCGTAAGGCGCTGTGGGCGCCGCGGCGAGCTTTCCATGTCAAGCGCGCTTCGCCAACATCGCCACATCACATCACGCTCACGTGCACAATCACACTACTCACTAGACTCCGCCCCACAGGCATCGTCAGAGCACCAATCACCACTTTTGTCCATTGCTGCACCCCCATACCTCCTTCTCACCCACAGGGTGGTCGTATAGGTATGCTGAACCTGCTTCTTATGAATTGCATTCGTACCCTTATCATTAATAGTATTAGTCCTCTTCTATGTATTGTTTCTTAATGCTATTATTATGATTGCTATTATTCGTCTTCCCTTTGTTATTTTTCTTTCCCCCCCAGCGGCGACGTCCGCCATGGGGAGGGGGTTGGGCTGCATCTGTGACGGACTTCGAAGCCGCGACAGGATGAGGATCGGGGTTGCCGAAGGTCACGAGCGTGTATCCGCGCCTGCGCGGTCTGGATTCCAGGGCGCGATCCCGCGGATACGCATTCGCACGGATACTTTCCGCGCGGAGCATCCGAGAAAAAACGCCCCGTATTCGCGGGATCGCGGCCCAGGGGCCCGGCCCGCGAGGCCGCGGATGCGGATCGGGGATGCCGGAATGGAATGGAAAAGAAGTCTGCGTGCCGGCTCCAGCAGCCAAAGCGGTCCCCATAGAGGGCAGGCCGTGCGCTGAGCATGTCGGAACATGAATGACAGCCACGAGCACACGCGGCAAAATGCGCTTAAAAAAACCTCTGGGGATGCCGAAAGGGGGGGGGAAGAAATCGACTGCACGCAGCTGGTTTTCCCGGCGCCTCCCGGCGCCGGAGGCGGCCTCGAGGGGGGGGGGGCCCAGCGGTGGCCCCAAGAGGCTCCCAAGAGGCTGCCAGGAGGCCCCCAAGAAGCTCCCGCGAGGCCCCAGAACTGCCCCCCATTACCAGCCTGGAACATATCCCTATCCCTATGCTGGGCATCTCCTCATCACGATGCCAACCTTAGGGACTCCCTTTTATTTTTTGAGGGCGGGTCCCGAGATCGTCATCGCCTCTTGGCGTGTCACTCTTAGGGATAAGGATAAGTTCGAGGCTGGTAACCCCAGAGGTCTCCGACAGCGCTCCCAAGAGACCCCAGGCAGCATCCCCGAGGACTCCGACCCACGCCAGCGTCGTCGTCGCCACCAGCGTCGTCGTTGTCCCCCTGCAGGATCGGCGGCACCGGCGGTGAGGCCTTCGCCATATCTTCAAGTCGGGCGTGTCCCCCTACAGGGGGGATTTGGGGCGAAGAATAAAAAAAGTTACCCCAGTGCGACCCTACCTAGAAGTTGGAGCCCCTAGAAAAGCAGCATGAGTTGCTATGCTATGCTATGCCATGCTATGCCATGCCATGCTATGCTGCGTTATGCTATGCTATGATATGATATGATATGCTATTATATGCTATGATATGATATGTTATGAAATGATATGATATAATGTGATGCGCTATGCCATGTTATGATATGTCATGCTGCGCTGTGCTATGCTAAGCTAAGCTATGATATGATATGGTATGCTACGCTCTGCTATGCTATGATATGCTGTGCTGCGCTATGCTACGCTACGCTATGCTATGCTATGATGTGCTCTGTTATGCTAAAGCTCAGCGAAGCTCAGATGAAGGTAAGCAAAGCTAAGATAAACCTGAGTTAAGATGAAGCTAAGCTAAGCTAAGATGAAATAAGCTCAGCTAAGATGAGATAAACAACGCTAAGGTAAGGGGACGTAACTGGGGGAACCGCGGGGCGGATCCTGGGGGAACCGCCCGGGGTGGGGCCCATTGCCCGCCCCCTTCTAGGCAGAGCCTAGGTAGGGAACTACAAAAATGCTACCCCAATTGGCAAAAATGGTCCAAAAATCCTCCCCTGACCATTCTCTAACTATTCTTGGACATTCCTCCTGTAGAGGGACAGGCCCGACTTAACCACCCCTGGGACACACAAATAAGTACACAAAGAAAAGGATTCCCCATACTTCCCCATATTTTCTGGGCTTTTGTCCCCCCCAACCCCCACATTTTCCCACGTTTTCCTGGGAGTGGACGACGCATTGTGCCTGTGTGATTTTTCCCCCTCCTGAGTGAGGCCTTCGCCGTAGCTGGCTCGGAGGCGGCGCGTGCCTGGAGAGAGGGGGCGGGGGGGATGCCCAGCGGTGGAGCCGGGCCCGGTCGCTGCACCGCAGGCTTCGCAGCGCTGGCGCCGGGGCGCAGCAGCAGCAGCAGCAGCCCCGGCAGCACGCCCCCAGACCTATAGATACGATGTGCTGATGTTGGAGGCGCACGTCCGACACGAACCCGCAGTGGACGTACCTGATAGCAGGTCGGTTCCCGAGCGCTGCCGTCGGCCCGTAGCATGAGGATGCGCGAGGGAAGGCTGCAAAGGCCCTCCAGGCCTCAGCGGGCCCTGGACACGACAGGGCCGTTTTGCTTACCGGTTCCGTTTTGCCGTTCTGCTGCCGGCTCCGACGCCGTTTTTGTTACCGCTTCCGTCACCGTTTCTTGACCGGTTCCGGCTCCGGTTCCCATCCTGGAGCCGCTTCTGTTGCCGTTTGCGGTCGCCGTTGTTTGCCGTTTCCCTTTTCAAGGGCCTTTTTTCTGGAAACGGCGAAACAACGGCCCCGCCGTTTCCTGGGCCCACAGATAGCCCCCGACACCATGGAGCCTCGAGGACTTCGAGGCGGAGAGGTGGTGCGTCGGCGTCGGCCTCTCGGGGCCCTCCGCGGGCCTCGGGAGCGACGGGGCACGGCTCGGCGTGAAGGCCCGGGCCCCCAGGGGGAGGTGGTCGAGGAGGCGGGGGCCCGTGCCTCCAGGCAACCGAGGCGCCGCGTGTCTGAGGTTTTGCCCTGCTCGCGCAGAGCGTCCGTGCTGTGGGGAAAGAAGCCTGGAGGCCTCGCGGGGCAGCTTGAGGCCATCGGAGCACGCCGGAGCCACAGTCGATTGCGTCGGCTCCACGTCGGACTGCGCCGCACTTGCGTCGCATTCACGCTGGATCTACGTCGGACTCACGCCGGACGATCGCCGCGCGAGCGTCGTCGCATATCTGACGTGGCGGAGGTGCGGACTAGATGATACAACGATTCCGCACCGCGCGAGGACGCCATGATTTGCCTCGTAGCCAGTGGCAATGCGACCAAACGATGAAAACATAGTTCGGGCAGGGACGGCAAAGAAGGAAAAAACACCGCTCATTCTCGCCCGGGTCGCTGGCTGCGGCCTGGCGCCCTCGACGGCGACGACGACGGCGACGACGACGACGACGACGGCGACGACGACGACGACGACGACGAGCCAGGAAGTATGTCTTAAATCCCCCCCTTCCCTGTGAAGCGCTACGAATCCCCGGCCTGTCATGACCTCTGGGTCGCATCACTGAGGTCCCGTAGACCCTACCATATGGCTGTAAGACACCACGGCTGCGAGACCCCAAGACCCTGAGACGCTGAGACACCAGGGCCCTGAGAACCTTATACCCGAGTCCCGAAGATCCGAAGACCCAAAAAACTCACTGTCCGAATTTCCGGATACCCCGAGACCGTGAGGCCGCAAGACCCGAAGACCCCAAGACACCCTCCTCTCGGGGATGGACAGAATCCCCTTCAGTAAAACATGGTTTAGTGAGAATGACCTCGGGCCCATACCTGGCGGGCGCAATCCTGGAAAATAACGGCCGCGGCGCCCTCTCGAGTACCGAAAACGGACAATTCACTAATCGACGTGTCGGGGTGGGGGTTCTGGCCACCCCCGATCCTCGGGGCCCCGCTGCGTCTTCGAGGCGGGGAGCCCCTGGGTGTGCCTCCCGGGGGAGCCCTGCGACAGCCTCTGGGGCGTCGAGGCCCCTGGGTTGGGCTCGCCTTGATTCGTTCAAGGCACCACCACTCTAAATTCGCTTACTTAAGCAGGCCCGAAACCCCCCCAA